ATACACCCAATATATGTGACCTATTGCATATAGTATTAGAAAAAAATACCAAAACTCAAAAACTTAACTTTAACCACTGAACAATGAAAATGAGGTTAAGGTCAGATGACACCTGCCAGCTAGACATGTACACCTTACAATCATTCCATACACCAAAATATAGACCTATTGAATACAGTATAAGAAAAACAGACCAAAACACAAAAACTTATAAACTAAAATCACTGAATGCCAGATTTGCTCTATCTGTTTATGTTTTTAAGTTATAAGCAAAGAGAATATTTTTCTAAAAGTGAAAGGATTGACGATAGCAAAAGCTCACCCTGACTTTTAATCAGGTTAGCTAAAGAAAGCAAGTCCTAATATGACCATGCAATCTAGGTAACCTATGTTCCAGATATTAATAACTAGATAGTTGGTGAATGTGGTACTGTAAATTCAGAAATTATTGCGTGCATTTATTATTGCTATTTTGTCAATTTAGACAAAAATGCGATTTTAAATTTTGCTATATATATTGAGAAAAATCCTGTTAAATTTATATTAAAAAAATCAAAATGCGAGTTTAAATTATTGTGGTTATAACCCTGTCGCATTTTTCGCAAAATAAAAACATCGCAATAATTTCTGAATTTACAGTATATGTGAAATGGGCCAAAAAAATATACATTCCATAAAAAAATATTTATGAAATATCAAACAAATTGAAGTTATGACACAACATTCACAAATCTGGTAAATCATCATCATCATCATCTTTCTTCCATGTCTTTTTTGTCATTTTTGTCAATTTTTTCCAAAGGATTTCTCTTTATTTGATCAAAGCCGATACATTTTCTGCCGGGTGTATATTCGAAAGGTCTTGCTTGTCGTAATGTTTGTTCTACCTCTTTAATGTCTTATTCACAGATTAACTTTGAATTTCTAGAACTCTGTGTTCTCATGGATAAAGCAGAGTCTAAGTTTTTAATAATGTCCGTTGTGATGTCTGCTGCACCAGTGCACCGAATGATTGCCTTTTCGGTCTTGTTCGCTCCTAATTGTTTTATGAGAGTCTTTGCATTTCTTACGGAATGTTCTTGCACTAAGTCTTGTTCTACGTTGTTGCCAGTTCCACCACGCATATTACAATATGAACCTTCCAATACTCGCATTTTATTTAAAGGTGAAAAAAGATGTTCAACCTTTAGTATGTAGTCTATTGCCTCAATGAAGTATTGCTTAATCTTGAATGGCTATAGAAAAATGGTATAGCGTACATCAGATTGGGAATTGTTCTAGTAATGTCACCCTCTTTTGCGGTGTCCTCCAAGGCCAAGATTGAGGAGGAAAGGACGACAACTCTGTCTGTATGGGAGATTGTGCTGGGATGCGCTTGTCGTTTCATGAAGGATACCACAGCATATACTAATAATTTTTAAAATGCAAACATTCCTTTCGACTATTTCATTTTGATAGTAATATTTAGGAAAGCATTGAGTTCATTTGTCATATGTTAAACTGCGACTTGTCACGTGATTTTTGCTGGAGCTGTAAATACAAACACTTTTTGAATGGGCTGCTAGTATCAATGTCGACACCATCAGGGGTCATGTTAAGTTAAGGGGGATACGATATAATGTAAGAATACATACACCCGATGACGTCAAATCTTCTATGTACTTGACAGGGTCATCGAGTATCCTTGTTATGTTACCAATCATTACAGATTGTCCACCTTTAAACAAAAAACGTCTGGAAAAAAGAAATGTGATAGCTTGACGGGCGTTTCTGGAAGACGTTTTTCTGGTACTTCATAGGTTCGGATCTCTTTGAGTATAACAAAAAGTTTCTTGTAAATTAGTTGGTCGTTACAATTTTTCAATAAACATGATTCTGCTCGAGAAACAGAATATTGCCACAGTAGCGATGCATCAGAAGTGTGTTTGGGGTAATCCCTCACAACCAATTTCAAGAAAAAGATCACATTTGGTGTTTCCGAAGGCCCAGTTAGCTGGTCCGAAAGATCCAGAGATAGCTAATGCAACTGAGCAACCATCACCGATCTCTATTTCACTTCAACGATACCTGAATATCCCGACTTGTTTTATTTATTGACCAAGCAGGTCGCCTTATTGACATTTTTCTTGGTCATGGCGGAAACCTTTCGTGGTTCTATATAGCCATCTGTATTAATACACTCTTTCCAAACATTTTGAACCGAAGAATCGACTTTTAGCCTTGCAAATTCGTGTAAACTGGCTATGTTTTCTACCTTTTCTTTAATGTCTATCAGTAACAGGCGGTCCATCTCTTGAGCCCTAATTGCTGAAACATCTAATGCAGAGCTCCCAACAAGTATCAATTATTTTGGTTTGAACTGAGGTGCTACTTCTCCTACCTTTTTCACAACTTCACTTACGTAGTTGAATAACTTTGTGTAACCTGGGTCACGCTGTGGTGTAGCATATCGACTGTACGAATTTTCCAAAGTTTTATTTAGTCCCAACATATCTGACATATTAATTTCCCGTATAAGCCTCGCTTACATACACAATAACTTTAGATAAAATTTCTCCACATTTATTTTTAACAAATATCCTTTGTTATTATACACTTATACACAATGCATATATCCGGTCATCAAGTTACATTTTTTTAGTATTCCAAGAATTTGTTTTATTTTGAATGGAATGCGATTAAATGAACTGATGTGAAACAATCAGATAGGTTCAATTAAATTTTATCTATTAAATACATGTATATGAATTCAATTGCAACAAAAGTTAGTTAGGACTCATATGCACTAATAAATGGCATAATTTTTGAATTTGCTGTGCCATTTCGTTACATGTACGAGTGAATGTGAAATACTACGTAACTTCACACTAGTACATATGTCACATTAAAGACATATCACTATGTTTACTGAAAACACATGATTGGCTGATTTCTTCTTTTAAAAATACTTTTTGTTAATTTATACATCACTGCTTTAAAATGTTTGTGTTTGGACGTTTCTGATGAAGGTAAATCCAGAAAAGGGCTCCGGACCCACGAAATTTATAAGGTGTTCTTTTCGTTTATTAATATTTTTACGTTTTATTATTCCGTTGATTGAAGAGGATGCCTGAGATACCAAATGTAAGTTTAACCCACTACATTATCATGTCCTTTTTCCAAAATTAGGAACTTTGATAGTGCGGGCTTTCCTCTAGATGTTTGATCATTTAATGAATTTGTTGTTGATGTTAGATCTTCGTTAGTCTCTGATTATATTTTCCCCGACTATTTTGCTATACTCGGGCTGATATATTGCTTAATATAGACTTTTTCTATTGTTAAAGACTGCGTACGTTGACCTCTAGATTTTTGGTCTTAATGGGATGGATGCTGTTTCTATGACGTATACCTCACATTTTCTCTTATTCGAATATATTGTATGTGTGTCTTGAATATCGTTCCGACAGCAGTATTCGAACTCACGGTATTGAGCCATCAATATTATGCAGCACAGCATACTAGTGCAATCTTGTCCAGCTACTAATACCACTCGACCAACTTGAATGCATACAGACATAACTTTCGTTAAGTTTCCGTGATGCCTAACCTAGTCGGATTAATATGGGGAATGGAATAACTCGACTAACGAAAGATTTATGACTGAGCTAAAATGCAATAAGCGAGTTGAAATTTTGAGTTATTCTAACAATCAAACAATTCATTATAGCAATGGTATAGATTGTGAAGTAATCAATGTTGGCGTTGTTCTTCATAACCTTGCTGGAGAAGTTTTTGAGTTAAGATCAGTTTTCTCACATATAACGAATATACACTTACTATCTTGGAAGATCGTATGATGACCTCAAAATTTATGTTCCCTATTTTTGTTGTTGTGTTGCTGTCTCATTGACATACATCACCACCCTTTACATTCATTAGCTTAAATTGGAAAAACCGCTTAATTGTGTTAACTGTAAAAACAATATCATGTCTATGTGGCACCCTGACTCTATTTCCCCCTGATTTTTCACTATATCGCTTTCAAAGATTCATGTCTATTCTATATGTAAAGCTATTAACTCCACGAGTTAATCACATCTGAGTGGAGACTATTCAGGATATTCCAACAACACCAACTCTTGCTTTGGATATGATATAAGACAACTACGGACGAGGTTCCTGTATTATATATGTTTGAGCCTGTAAATCAGTGGTTGTCGTTGTTTGTTGTCCATCATATTTGTTTTTCGTTTATTGTTTTGTCACAAATCAGGTCGTTGGTTTTTATCGTTTGAATTGTTTCACATTTTGTCATGTCGGTGCCTTTTGATGGCTGACTATACGTAATTTGGTTTTCTCATTGTCGAAAGTCGTACGATGACCCATAGTTGCTTATACATCCATGTCATTTGGACTCATGTCGATAGTTGTCTCATTGGCAATCATACCACATCACTGTATTTACAATCGAGAAAGAGAAGGCGGAATTGTTGCTTAGACAATCGAAACATATCCGTTGTCATCTATGACACAGTTATTCCATAACGTTCTATCCCTCCTGAATTTCTAATAAAATTAGGCATGTGCATTAAAAATGTACATACATTGAAAGTAAAATAAAAATGAATAATTTCAAAATGTCTTTAGTTATCTAAAAGTAACAAAAAATAATTGTTGAAAGTATATTTCCTGCACTATTTTACAGATTTGTAGTAAGACGTATTTGAAATTTCAGAAATGTACAATTAATATCTCTTTTGATTAACACACATTTTTATGTAGTCAGCGATAAAATGATGCATAAAGAAAAGTTATCTGGTGTGTCATAGGAATTTAAATTGAAAAGATGATTACAAACTTAATCCTCAAATGAGTTAATTTAAACAGATGTTTATAATCATGTCTAATATATGTGCATGTATGATTTCTTCGCTTTCAACAAAACTATCCATGGTCACAAAGACATCATGTTTCATACTGCTTAAAAGTGTATTGGAAATATTATACAGATGAAAAGATTTGCATAAATTTGCATGAATTACATCTTTTTCTGGTGACTGCGTTCTTTGAAGGGCAGATGTTTTCAACACATTGTCATGCCAATCATAACGTGTGGAATTTCATTAAGATACTCGTATCTTTTGCGCTGTGTTTGAGATTATAGGATAAAAACTTTAAATTTATTCATTTTGTGAAGAAATTTCAGGAGAGAAAGTTTTGCAATTAGTGATATAAACAGTAGAACTTCGTTTATTTGATTTCTGAAGTTACCATGACTACAATAAAACATCCGCACGTGCAATGAAAATGCAGGACTATATTGTTTCCCGTTAAATTATTGCTTTGAAGTGCAACGAACAAAGAAATCAGGTATGTTTATTTTCACCAATTCTTTCATCTTAGCTACAAAATATATGTAGATAGTTTTATGTGTATAAGATGTTAAGCATATTGATTTTAAAGACCAACATTTTTATTAATAACACATATTGCTGTATAGACTTTTTTCTAACGCCATAATCAAATATAATTGCGCTTCATTGCACTTCGTTGTTTTGTGGTGTAAGTAATTAATGTTATTTATGTGTAATCTATCTGTTGTCCATTGGCGTATTAAAATAAGGTAAGAGTTCTTATACTTCATTACGTTTATGATTTAATTTTCTAAATTATATGAACGTGAAAATGTCAACGCTTTTATGTTAACAATTAGAAAGAAAATTACCTAGATTTCTTTTAATGTTATTTCACATGTGCAAACAATCGTATTTAACATGAAGAAATGTTATTATTGCGTTGTGAGACACTGCATGGTATGAAACCTCCATATCAAACCTTCTGCGGATTGTTTAGCTTTAATACATGTAATTAAATCCGTTTTTAATGACAAACAGTATGAAAAATACTGAACTTCAAGGTAAATTCAAAAAGGGTAAAAACAATAAAAACTGAGAAAATCAAACGTTAGACTTAATTTATAATTATCAACCAAAGTAACGAATGGAAAACAACTGTCATATTCCTGACGTGGTACAGGTATTTTCCGAAGAAAATGGTGGGTTAAACCTGGTTTTATTTCTAGTTAAACCTTCCAATGGTATGACAGCTATTAGTAGTTCCGTTACTTGTGTGAGCCACCCCAAACAGACATAATATCTTAATGTGACAATTATTTGGAACCAGTAGCCATAACTGTCATACAACACAACTGACTTAAAAATTCAAACACACATAAAAATAAATCTATCAAAGACGCGCGCAACAAAAAAGTTTTTGTAGTTTATAGTATATTTGACAAAGACGGGTACAAAAATGTTTTTGAAGTTGAAAGTACATTCAAAAGTCGACTGTTGTATAGAAATATGGTCACATGGACTTCGCACGTATGCGACAGTAGAACCAATACTAAAGAGGGGCGTCTGTTCGGCTGTTCTTGATGTATAAATACGCAGCCACGTCAGGTCGAAATTACTTAGATACATTTGAAACCACTTGTAAGGAAAGTGCAACGCTCATTTCACGTTAAAGAAAGCTAAATAACTTTATGAGGAGTCCGTAGGTGGCCTATTGCAAGGTTATCTAAACTATCCGCGCATATGCAACGGACACGTCTTTTTCAGTTTTCAGTGCCAGTTCGTATGTCCAAACCTTAATTCTGGTCGTGTCCCATTGCAGGTCCTACCTATCTGATTTATTGTTTATTTGTTCACGTTCTAAATGTGAAAAAAAACTATTTGCCGCTGGACGTTAGTAAAAAAAAAGCAATTAATCAATCAATATATCTGTTTTTATATTGTTATACATTTTATGATTATAATTGTAGCAAAGGTTACATTTGTATTGCTAACTTATTTGTCATCAGCTATGCCCTTACTTTATCAAACCGAGTTTTGAAGCCACTCTTGTGTGGATGTCCATGAATAGGTACATGTACTTTAGTAGATTGGTAGTTACTTGGTTACAGAATATCAAAACCAGGACATGAGGATATAGACACAACTAATTCTTATACTAGTACTAAAGGCTTAAGCTGAATAAAAATTACACTGGTGTTCAGGCAGATTTTCGGTATAAATCTAATTTATTTTACATCATTACACATAAAACATTTTAATTAATTTTTTGACGTTTCTTTAAATTAAAATTATTGCATATCTAAATGATTCACACCAACTTTTTTACTAAGATCAATATGATGGAACATTTTTCATATTTATGACTCATTCAAGCCAAAGATTTATCTAATTATACTTTTCCCTGTCAGAAAACAAATGCTATCTCGGAGCATTTTTGAATTACAATATCTCCTATAATGTATTACTTGAGAGAATATGGTTCCACTTCTGGGGAAAATCACGCATGCTAATTGTAAGTTAATTTCTCTATTTAATTGGTAAGGTACTTTTCAGTGTCATTTAGCTATCAGTTCAATTTAGTGTTTAAAATCTAAATAAAACTATCAAAGGTTTGTTGATTTGGACGTAAGCTGAGAAAAGTCAGCCCATCATTGGTTATAGGATATTCATAGACGTGTTAAAATAATATTAGTTGCAGGTGCATTCTGAAGGTTTTATTGAACATATTCATTGAAACATTAACGTATCGAATGAGATAAAGTAGCTAATCAAACATGAAAAAGCTGATAAAAGTGAAATTTTATACTACAGAGTGTTTTGTTAATGTCTTTCAAAATACATTGTGAATTTTGATATCATCTAACAGAAATAAGATGATTCTTTCTTTGTGATAATGTAATATTCACTCTGAAAGTATTAAAACTCTGCCATCTGCTAGCTGTAATTTAAGTACAATAATGGCTTTGTCAATTTTTCGAATATTATCATGCCAAACATCGTCTATCTTAGAAAAGACGGAAAAATTTTTTTAAAAAATAAGAAAACATGTTTATTTACAAACATGCACGTGTACGGAAAATAGACTGTGTTTTTGTTTTAATTTGTACGCAATTAACAAACCCACGTTGACCCAATTTTTTTATTTTATCATCTTAATAAAAGCTTCTTTCCTGATAAATCCACATAGTTCACGCTCATGGATAAACAGCAAAATACACAAGAGGAGGGGTGAACTCCTCATACATCCGCAGTATTTATTTGAAGACAGTCATATGACTTAAATTGATACAAAACATAAGGTGCTTAGGTTTGATTGCCAAAGAGACGACTACAAAATGATCCACTAAAGTCAAAATGACATGGGCGCGAGTTTAATTTAAACATATTTAATTAGCAAAAGTAGCAAATGAAATTACCACAAGTTACAACAGCATTAGACCCCCTATCATTCCATAGATGTGAGCAACTATTGGTTGATTTTTTGAAACAGTCAAGTTAATTACTTGAAGGGAAATTCGTTTAGGATATTTATATCTCAATGCAAAAATGTAACTCTAACTTCCTTAACTATACTTATTTTAAAATCAATGTGTTTTTGACGCATTTCTTACTTCATGACTATAACACTTTATTTGTAGTAAAAAGAGATGAATATGAATAACAATCTTATATTTGTTAGATTCTGATTATGTCTTTTTATCGGCAAAAGCTGTGCAATCACTATCATCTTAGCTAAATCTAAAATTTTGAAGCAAGTCTGATAAACCATTTAAAAATGTTAAGCCAGGCTTAAAAATAAAAAGAGTAACTCAAAGACAGATAGACCCTTAACCGGCATCCATAAAAGCTATTAAAACTTTCACCTGTCACACGGGTAAAACAAATGTAAAACAGATTTAAAATGAAAGAAATTATAAGTATAATTCACAGATTCGATTCCTTACATTAAATGCATTTGATTTGATTTTTTCCGGCTAAATTATGTCTTGCACAGTGCAGCTAACATGGTCAAAAGCTACGACTCAAAGACAAACAGCTGTCATTACCAGTATCTGTGAGGATTAATCAACACGAGGCGCGCGCTTGAGACATTAACATGTTTAAGATGTTGCTTTTGATTGGTATTTAATGGCTTAATGGCATTCTCTAAATTCACTTTTATGAATGATGGCTATCAGATTTGCCATGAAAAGAGAAAAATATGTTATTTGGAAATTGTATAAAAAATAAACAATGTGATTTGTTTTGACGATGCTTATATTCTTTTTTGATCTGTTCTCAGTTTGTTTTAGCTAAACAGCGACCATGTGCTTGCAAGATGTGTAAATGCATGTAAACGGTTATAAAGTGTTGTACAATCTGTATGGCAATTGCCAAAAGGGATTAAAGATGGCAGACGCATGAAATTTTAAGTAAACATGAAAGATTGAATATAGTGATGTTGATCTTCCAAAGGCATTTTTTTCTAAACTTCTAGTGAAAAATAGTTAATGCATATTTTAGGACGAGTTGCTGTATAAAGTAAAAGCAAAATATGACCTTTTTTCAAAATTGTATTAGGCACGTGCACCTAAGAATTTCTATTCTCTCTATCTTTTATTTGGTAAAGTGTCTCTATTAAGCAATGAAGATTGATACAACTGATCAAACAGTTCTTATATTCGATTACTGCTAGAAGCTAAAATCTCATCCTAAAATGTTTGTATTTAATTTGATTCATGGGATTGAACGGTCAATACTATATTTTGTGTGCTATAAGGGAAACACAGCCGTTAATCGCTTTCTCTGTAATTGCTTTTCACAAATATCGAATTTTTTGTTTCAAAATGAGTAAAACAGTTTTAAATAACTTTGTCTTGCATCTATACAATGATAAAGAAGTACAAGGAATAGATCTACCTATTAATGTTCTTTTGAATTCTAAAGTTCTGTTGACACTTGAACCGTTATATACAAGAAAAGTAGAAATAAGTTTTTGAAGTAGCTTTGGCTCTCAAAATATCATTAAGCAGTATGTTTCTTCTATTAGCACGTTCACTAGAACTAATTTATTCCCTCAAACGTCTTTTGCCTTCTATCTCTCAACAGTAGGCTTTTAATTACGTTACCATGCGATTTCACGCGCATTTTAAATTGCAACAATTACTTTTGCACGTGCTTTGCGGGAAATGGTAGATTTTCTTTCATAATATTTATAATCGAAATCTCATTGTTCATTTTGCGAGATAATAAACAAAGTGACAGAAATAGCCCATTACCAATCGAGAATGCACTTCAGAAGTCAGTTCTCCTGAAATTAAAGACCCGTTACTGTCTTGCAGTAGCAACATTAACTTTCCAAAGAATTAACTAACTTCAAAGTAGCTTGTGATATGTTAACCAATTGTTCTAGACAAAGAATTGATTAATAGTTAACACAAAACTGGTACCACTCTTTCCCGTTGAATCTTTATCTTGCAACTAATATGCATGAAATACTTGCCACTAGACAACTGCTAAAAAATATTCAGGTAT